GGTAAAATTGTATTTTAAATGCATTTGTCCGTAAAATTAAGAGTAATTAATTGATTTCCTTGGTTCTCGTAAAATCAGCTAAAACGACTATTAATATGGAACAGAGGGAGTACATCTTAACCCTTAAAGCACTCATTTTTTAAAGCAAAAAATGAGTGATTTTCACGGATAAATTAGGTGAGGTGGGGACCACTGGACCAGAGGACATGGCGCGGACAACGAGAATTTTTTTTTTTTTCGTGGGGGGCGGGGGGTGTGGGGAAATTTCCTAATGATTTAAAGTATGTGACATTAGAAAATGTAAGGAAAATTCCTTGACGGCAAGAACCAACTAGGAAACAATTTCGTGGGGGGGAAATTTCCTAATGGTCTCAAATATGTGACATTAGAAAATGCAAGGAAAATTCCCTAATGGCAAGAACCAACTACGAAACAATTTCGTGGGGGGCAATTTTCCTAATGGTCCCAAGTATGTGACATTAGAAAATGCAAGGAAAATTCCCTAATGGCAAGAACCAACTACGAAATAATTTTGTGGGGGGGAAAATTTCCTAATGGTCCCAAGTATGTGACATCAGAAAATGCAAGGAAAATTCCCTAATGGCAAGAACCAACTACGAAACAATTGAGGTATTTAAAAGTTAGTAATAATTTTGTCTCATTTTTAGAAAAGGCCAACCAGAAATTAATGATATTTTCTGTGAAAATGCAGGTATGGACCTACTAAACCAATGAGAAAAATAAAAAGGTTAAATATTTTTTTTGGTCCCTCTATTATAGGAAAAAGTCTCTTTTTGATCCCTATACCGAAAAAAGCTCCTTTTTGGTCTCTAAATTTTAAAATCCGACCCTTTTTTAGTCATTCCGTTAATTTTTACTCACGTGGTACGTTAACTTAATTGGAACAGCTGACGTGGGTATGCTAACGGGTAAAAGATTCTTACGTGGACTCCACGTCATCCTCCACGTAGACTCCACGTCACCCTCCACGTAGACTCCACGTCCTTTGGCCCTTTTTTTTTCCACGTGGAGGGTGACGTGGAGTCTATGTGGAGGATGACGTGGAGTCCACGTAAGCATCTTTTGCATATTGGCATATCCACATCAGCTATTTCAGTTAAGTTAACGTGCCACGTGAGCAAAAATTAACCGAAGGACCAAAAAGATATCAGATTTGTGAACAATAAAAACTAAAAAAGGGATTTTTTGAGTATAGGGACCAAAAAGAGACTTTTTTCTATAGTAGAGGGACCAAAAAAGGTATTTAACCAAATAAAAATAAAAACTTGCTGGCAGAATCAAAATTTCATGGTCGCTGCTCCACACAAAATTTATTTATTTGTTTTGGAAATACAAATATCTATGTACTCCCTTAATAGTTTATGATTTTATATTTATATTAAAAAATTATTATACAATATAAATTATAAAATAAAAAAAAATTAAATAACAAACAATATACCGAGATCTTCTTCTCATCTAGTCATTTTTATCTTACAATTTAATAAATTTAAACTACAAAATAATAAATTTTATTTTTAAAAAATTTTATTTCATAACTTAAATTATATTAAATCATGAAATAAAAAACCTTAATATTACAATATCAATCTTTATTTAATAATTAATATAATATAATTTAATACAATTTATAATACACTATATTTTTTTCTTTTTTTTTTACTACCAATTAAATTACACTTCTATTCAAATTTTAGAACATTGCACTCATGTCCAGCACTTGGTGACGTATTTGCCACCCCCCTTGCGAAATGTGGTTGGGACACTCAAGACCTGGGTTTTAGCCCTAGGTCCCCTTCCCCCAAAATTCCCCACTATCAAAATTAAAATTAAAAAAAAAAAAAAAACCATTGCACTTATCTTAATAAACTTAAAGACGGAGGGTTGACGGCATTATTGTCTTTTGGTTTACGGTATCTTTCTTTAGTTGATTTTCATTTTCCTTTTGGTCTTGAGATATAAAATCCTTCTAAAACAGATCTACGTGATCTACTGCATATTAAGAGAATCTCAGAGCCAGATCCAGAGGACGCAATCGACTACACATGCTTAGGTACAAACTCTGTAAGTAACTCTGTAAGTGTTCACTTCCATCTGCCTGTCTACCTTCTTCTCTTTTCTATTTTTGAATGATTTCGTAGAATCGGTAATTGTACAAGTCTACAACTTAAGATCTGTGCTTGCACCCTTCTCCAGGTATTGCATCATCTTGGTGAAATCCATACTCTACTCCAAAGAGTACAGTATAGATTTGCATTAATTATTTCAAGCAATAAGTGGAATTTGCTATTTGACATTGAGGAAGCTGTATATCTCAATTAAGTAGGTAAGAGTTTTCCTTTATTTTTAGATTCCGTTCTTTTTTCTTTTTCTTTTTTTTTATTTTTTACATCAAACGCTATTTATATGCATTTTTTCATTTGTTTAATTCCTTTCCAACTGACTAAAGATTTAAATTGAACACCTTCAAATTAAAAATATCAAGTTTAATATTTACCAGTTAAGTATCTTTAGACTCTTTTTTTCTTACAAAAACATTAATTTATCAAAAAATTTAAAATTCTATTTCTTTCTAAAAATATTTAAATATTTTTACTTATTTTTTAATTATCTAAAATTTTATTTACAGTTAAATTTATGAGAAAATTGCATATTAGTTAGGACTGTAAAAAATAATTAGAGTTTTAATCTTAAAATATATTATTTTATTTAATTAAAATTTAATTTAAAATTTATAAAATTATTTTATTAAATATTGATATATTAAAATATATAATAAATT